TTTCTTCCTGGGAAGGACAGGGCATGATTTTAGAAGCTTATCACCAGTCCTGGGGCAAAGTTACAATCTGTTAACAAAGAACTATTGTAATCAAAGGAATTTAACAGAAAGGTTTCTATTGCTGCTTGCCTGGGAAAGTTTTTCTTTCCCTAACTAGTTATTAAAGTACTTATGTTTAAATCAGGGATATTTCAGTGACATCAGAAGACAGACCAACCCCAAGCTTTTGTGAAAACTTAAATTACTGCTTGAAAATGTACTGTTAACTTTCAGTTTTCTTGTCTTTTCCATTTTTTTAATACTTTGCTATATTCTCTTAATGGCTTGTCTTGATTCAGTTAGCCAAAGGAGCTTAAAAAAAAAAAAAATGGAACGTAGGAACAATGATATTCTTTGAACTTAGTTGAAGGTAGCTATTTAGAAATTGCTAAATTAGATGGACTGAGCATTTCAGTTGTGTGGCGCTCACTCATCTGATAAGTCTTTGATGCATATCTTCATCGACTTGTGGTAAGGGCAAAAATTAAAGACAGGTGGGGAAAGCCAGCGAGCGCCTAAGAGGCAAATCTAGAACATGTTATAACATTGTTATTGTTGGCTGGGGTCAGGGTTCCACATCTTTCCCTTGCATCAGGAGTTGGGGTTTGTTTGGCGACACTGAGGGAGGCCCCTGATTGGATTCATATTGAGCTGACAGTGGGAGATAAAATAAACTCAGGGGGTTGCTGCAAGGCAAGAAGAGTGTGTCCTGGTGGCTGGAAAAGAAAGCTGCTAAGGGTGGAGACAGGGGTGGCTCAAGCCCTTGGGAGGAAGCAGAGAGGGAAGCTGACGGAGGTTTCTTCCTCCTCAGCATCACCAGGGCCCAGTAGCCTCATAGACCTGCCACCTCCCACAGTCTGTCCTCTGTCTACACACAACCCCTCCCACACGCCCTTATTTCACTCCTCAAACTTATCCGTATTTCCTTGTCTGAAAACTTTATCACTCAAAACACTGCCCAAGCTCAAACTGGCTCGGGTCAGACTGAGACTCAGACATCCCCTGGGGAGAAAGGTTGGCCTTCTCGGTCAATATCAAGCTATTAGACTTTTGCGCACAGCAAAGGGTAAGGGGAATTGGTTTCATGTACCTCATGCCTGCACTACCTGTGCACAAACTTTGGTAGGGAACCTAAAAGCAAAACAAAACAAAACAAAAACAAACAAAAAAACAGCCTGTGAGAACCCTAAGCGGTGTGTGCAAAGCCCTGCTCACTTTTTGGTAGTAAGTAGCCCTTGTTTGCTGAGCCATTCCCATAAAACCATTTCTAGAAGGCATTAGCCAACACCCAGAGCACTGGAAGCTGCCCAGGGAGTGGTGTGCTGAGAACAAAGACAGTCACGCGCGCTTATCATGAGGGACAGACCGTGAGCTCCATGTCACCAAGGACCTTCTGTGCAGAAACTTGACATTGAGTGATTTTTTTTGTGCTGTGAATACCACGCTGAGCTCCCCCTGTGGAATCCTTGGGCCCTCACAGCATCCTCCTGCTCAGAATCTATGCTTTGGAATCGACTCCCATGTTACACTTAACTTTGGCTGCCACTCGGGCTCCAAGGAACCATGGGAGTTTGCACGGGGTAGGATGAGATGCCACATCACCTGCCTTAGCAGCGGGCGTGCGGCCTTTCTCCCAGGTCACACACAGCCTTGGGAGCCTGCCTGCCTGGCTCCTTTTGATTTCTGCCAGCGATCACCATACTAATAACAACCTTCCTAGACTGCTTACTTCGTGCTCGGAGCTTTCAGTGGATTAACTCCATGAACCCTATTGCAATCCCCATTTTAATGGTAAGGAGATTGGACTGGGGGTTAGCAACCTGCCCAAGATCGCAAAGCTAGGAAATAAGGATTAGAAGGCAGACTTTTGAACTACCCGACTTATGCCTGGAAACCATTATGTTTTCCTTCCCCTGTTATAGAGATGGCAATGCCACTAGAGCTGCCCTACATACTCATTTGAAGCCTAAGTGTAAATCTGAGGGGGCTGGGGGTACAGATCACATAATACTAAGGACGGCTCCAGCGAGGGACTTGAAGAACATGTGGGAACAGGAAAGTGGCTGCATGCACTATGTCCCTTCTCTTAGTGTTAGTGTGCAAGTGAGGGGCTCCTGGGATCCCCTAACTTACACACTCCGAAGGGATCCAGGCATCTGTGCACAAGGACAAAGGAGACTCTTACTGTGAAAGAACTTTGAGAGTTAGTGCGCAGAGAGAAAAGATTATTCCAAATAAAAGAATTAAAGTTACCCAACCCATAAAGAGATGCCCAGCCAAACAGGGTTGGCCCCAACTAGGGCCACTGAGCCCCAAAATCTTGCCACAAGTCTAAGGTGCCTTCTGGTGGGGAACCAAAAGGAGACAAAAGAGGCCAGGCAAATCTGGGACAAACCAAGGTAACAGCTTCCATTGGCAGCCACCCCCACTGCCCCGTCTCTCCCCCACATCTCTCTTGTCCCCCCCAAGTCCCTGGTGCAAGTCCAGAGCTGAAAAGCAAGTGCTCTTCTCCCCTCCTGAGCCTGCCATCTTCCGTGTTACATGGCTTCACCTGGCCATTCAGTTCCACCCCTCATTAAGTGGGGGCAGGAAACCTGGTCCCCTAATATTAGCACAGGACTTCTGGACAGTTAGTGTGCAGAGCACCAGCTTCAAAATCACCTGGGACGTTCATTGTGGAGCCTTGCTCCTGGGCTCTGTGCCACACCTGCTCACCAGGTGGCTGAGGCCAGGTCCAGGCCTGACGGTCAGTACACTTCTTGTATGCACTGGTATCGGAGAACCACAACACTCCTCTGAAATGACTGATTGTAAAGGGGCAGGCTGGGCACAGTGCAGGTTCTCTGATCCCATGCAGACCGGGTAAAGGAGGAGTCAGAGTCCTCAGTAGTTTTGCAGGTTTTTTTATTTGGGGTTCACCAGGCATGTGGCAGGCAGGGGTGCAGGCTGGGGGGCTGGGAGGCTGGCAGGCCTCCCAGGCCCCAGCAAGTCTTCACTCTATCTGGGCTCTCTAGTGTTCATTCTGCTGCTTCTCGGCTTCGGCTTCAGCTTCGGCTTCTACCGCTGCTGCTGGCGTCCCCGAGACGCCGCCCTTAAAAGCACAGTCTTAGCTCAGCTGAATCCCATCTACCTATGCCCACACCCTATTCCAGGTGCCCGCCATCAGGCATGCATTCAGGACAAGGAGCCATCATCTATCCTGATGGCGGAAGGGCAGAAAAGCCTGACATTTTCTTTACCCTACACTGATGAAACAGTATCTGCTGGCACTAACTTTGTTGGGGACCTGGGGGGTAGGAGGAGGTCTTTTCCATGTTGGTCCAATGAAGCAGAGATGAGGTAGCAACAAACACAGGTTAAATGGGATTCATCATTTGTTCCTTGACAAAACATATTTAGGACAGGAAGAAAACAACACACTCCTCTCCCCACCACCCCCAAAAAATAACTGGGAAGTGGGAGAAATTCCATCGTTGTCTATAAGGCTGTTGGTTTGTGCAGGGGCAGGAGGACACGGAGCAGGTTATCTATGATCCGAGCAGATGGGGTAAGAAGTCCTGGAGTCCTAGTTGGCTTTTCAGGCTTTTATTGGGATTTACCAGGTACACAGCAGGCAGGAGTGCTGGGGGGCCGGGAGGCTGGCAGGCCTCCCAGCTCCCAGCAAGTCTTCACTGTCTGGTCTCTCCGGCCTTCTCTGGTGGTCTTTGCTTCTCTTTCGCTCGTTTTCTCTGCTTCTCTGCTCTTCCTGGCGTCCCCGTGATGCCGCCCTTATAATCTCAGTCTCTCAGCCCAGGTGTACCCACTTACTCATGCCCACACCCTACTCCAGGTGCCCGCCATCAGGCATGCATTCAGGACCGCAAGGATCTGTCATCTTACCCTACAGTTTGGTTTGGATTTTGTTAGTTTTATTTTGTTCACTTGGTTTGGTTCCCCCTCTTGAAAGATTTTGATGTTTTAGCCTGCAGAGGCCACATCCCCCAAAATGCTTTTAACATGTCATTTCTGAGGCTGGTGGTCCCACAAGCATTGAAACCAGGATTCATCTTGGAGAGCTGGCCACGAGCCCTCAGCACCCACTGGCAGGTGGGGAGAAAGGTGCCGTCACTCCCAGCTAGGTCTGATCAGATTCCTGGAGAAGGAACAGTCGTGGATATAATTTCAGCTCTGGAAAGAATTGTAAAGAGTATCCAGTGAAGACCTCGACTGTTCTAGAGACGAGAACCACCAGCACTAAGAATCTAGATTAGGGCTTCCTCCTCCTCGTCCAGGTTTTAGAGAGAACCCACCCATGTTTCCCTAAAGGTTATCTCTACATGCCACAATTTCACTGCCTTTCTGCCTCTTTCCATTGGTGTTAATTATTAATTATTTCTCTTTAAACCAATTCCAGTTTTTACTCAAATTTGTCCAAGAAACAAGCTGAGTCAGAGCTATAAATGGAAGAACGACATCAGTTGCTAGAAAAAGAAGATCCCAAGTCCTTGTCTGAATTCCCTGAAATGCGGGAACCAAGTGGATGTAGTTGAGGGACACCCCAGAGGCATCAACTGCCTGGGGTTCTAAGTCTGAGGCCTCTTCTCTTTGTCAAAATGGGGGGACCAGTCAACTGGGACTCAGCTTTGATTACTCCCAGGATTAAAAGAATTGAAAAGGAAGTATAATTTAAAATAGAATTTAAAATACACCCTACCCATCACGACCTCCCACTCACAAGGGGAATTCTTTGTTGAGGATGCCCACATTTTGGATAAGGCCATGCTCCACTGCCCTGTGCCCCACAGCATCTTCTCTTGCAACTTCTCCCCATGAAACAGGTCTCTGGGGGTGCAGGGAAGGTAGAGCCTCTAATGGACAATGCCAATTACAAGACCACTCAGCCTCAGGGAAGACCAACAAGGGAGTTTATTTAACAATCATGGGAAACAAGGAGTATCAAGGCCAGTGGCCAGCTTTCTCACCCCAGTTAGTGTCCAAAGGCTGCTCATCCAAGATGGTGCCATCCTGCCAACCAGGGTGAGGATTTCGTGGCAAACCACAGGCCAGGAACCAGCTCTCCACAGCTGGAGGTGCTCACAGGCGGGGCCCCTGAGATGACGCCACTGCAGTCCCAGCCACAGTCTGAAGGTTGGGATGGACAGTACCAGATGCCAACCAGACTGCAATGGAGGCAGAAATACCAGGAGGCAATGCTGACAAATGACAGCTCTCAGAGGTGACCCAGACAGAGTATCCATTGCCCATCAACAGTACTGGGCAGCACTGGCCAGTAGTGCCTATCACTACCAGTCACTGGCATTAAGGCTCTTTGTGAGTCATTGGCCCATAGCAACAACAGACAGCTCTTTGAGGTGCTAGGCCCAAGGCCTGCTGCTCCTTGCAGGTGAAGTCAGAGGTAGGCTGGGGCAGGTGCAGCCCAGTCTCTGAATTTTCAGCTTCTCTCCTTCCTCCGGAAGCCAGCTGCTGGATACTTCCTCCTCCCTGGAGGTCAGGGACAGTGTCCTTCTCAAGCAGAGTGAGAGTCTCAGAGGCTAGTGAGTCTAGTCCGAGTGACCCCCAGTCTGAGCAAGCCTGAGAGTGTAGACGTGCAGTCAAAGAGAAGCCGGCCCAACCTGCCATCTGCCCTGCTTTATTTCCTCTCTCTCCAGGGCTCCCACCTACCAGGCTGATAGGACTAGTTTCAATCCTATGGCTGATTGGACCATTTACCAATCAGCTCATAGCCCACACCTGATCACTCCATTATACGGTCCAGGCACCAAATCCACACGCCTCTCTAACTCCCTGCAGCTGAAGGAGCCATAGCGCTGGGACTGGCCCCATGGGACTTCAGGGGCTGCATGCCCTGGGGTGGCGTGGTAGGGAAACCACTGCCATCCACCATCACTGCTGGCCTCTGCAGCAGCCTGGGCCCAAGTGGGGCCACTGGTGGCAGGCAGTGAAATGCCCACCACCCTGCCGCTACACTCCCACAAGCAGTGCTCTGAGGGCCAAGTGCTAGAGCCCCAAGATGGGGGGGGTCTCCAGTTTCATCCCTTCACCCCTTTCTCTCCATGCTGTTCAGACACTAGACACTGTTACACAGTGGAATTGGCAATGGTCACCTCTTTCAAGCAAAAAGCCTGCATGAAGAGCAGTTTGCTTTTTTCCTTTCCCTGATGGTGGTTAAAGTGAGCCAGTCATGAAATGTTCACAGGTGAGAGGTGTTCAATTATTCCCCCACTCAGACATCTTACATGTCTCCTGCCACCTATAAAACAAAGTACAAATCTCTTAGTCCAGCATGTAAAGCCCTCCACCACCTGATTGCAGCACACTTTTCACAGAATCAAAGGCCTTCAGAGCTGGGATGGATTTAGAGTACTTCCACTTCCAATGTGGTCTCTAGCCAGCCCTCCAGGACTACAGGATCCACCAGAGGTCATGGTTCGCAGCCTGGCTTCCCATTGGAATCACCTGGGGAACTTTGAAAACTTGGGCTGCACCCAAAATGCCCTGAATCAGAATCTCTGTGGGTGGAGCCAAGGCATCACTAGTTGGAAAAGCTCCCCTAGGTGAGTTCACCGTGCAGCCAAGAAAGCCACTCACTCGTGGGCCACACCTCATACCTGTGGAGACACGACCTCCAGGAGCGGCATCCAGGAATGTGCATTGAAATAAACAGGAAGACTGGGATGTGAAACCAGGACGAGTCCAGCTTCCACGGCCTATCGATCCAGAAGCAGAAGCACCAGCTGCTAAGTCACAGAATCCCTGTCAAAAGCTAGTGAGTGGCAGAACTAAAGGCAGAATTCCTATGTCCAGAGGCCTGGCCAGTGCTCTTCCCATGATGCTCTGCTGCTTTCTAAGCTTTGCTCCAACTCCACTACACCTCCAGCCAGGCTCATCTGGCTGCTGACCCCTAATTCATCCAGGATTTTGTCAGGTTGGTGCACTGCCTCCACCTGGAAGAGCCAGACCATTCCTTCCAGATTAGCTAAGTCCTGGCTTGGCTTTCCGTAAGGCCCTTCCCACTTCCTGCTTTAGCTTTCTTAGCCCCAATCCAGCACACACCGCCTCTCCCTTCTCTCCACCCCTGTTGTACTGACGGTCACGCTTTAGCATTGAGTTATTCTGTAATAACACAGTATAGAAACTCCCATAGGGCAGAGACCATGGCTTATGTTCTTCTCATATCCGCCCAGTGCATTCAGAGTAAGCACTCAACAAATGCTCTTCCATTCCCAGACAGCAAGCCTCAAGACCATTCAAGTATAGCTCGTTGAAAATCACCTTTGGGGCCCCTTTCAAAATTCTGTTGCAAAGGGGAAACAAAGAATTACTTTCTGTGTTTCTCCTTTTTTTTCTGTTCCATCTTTTTTAAATAGTCTTGAGGTTTATGTCACTTGCAATCCCGTGGCAATAAACTTGACGCCCAGAGTACCTGACTTTTCAAGAGACCAGTGTGACACACACAAAGATATTATGCGTGTCTTCCTTTGTATGCTGTCTTTCAGCAAATGTCAATGGCTTTTCGGAATAATAGACAATCCTGGAGGATTGCAGCACCTGCATGTGTACTGTTAAAAACCACTCACTCTTAAAAATAAGCAGAAAATCCCCCTCTTGCCTCAGGGAATAAAGAAAATATAAATATTGCAGCTCTCATCCTTTACCTCTCAGCACTTGGCTCAATTGATGTCTTCAAATCAAAAAGCCCCAGAGCTTCCCCACCCGGAGTTCAGCTTTAGAATTTCTCATTAACTCACAATGTATACAAATATCAAATCATTATATTGTACACCTGAAACTAATATAATGTTATATGTCAATTACACCTCAATAAAAATAACAATAATAATGAAAGATTTCTCATTAAGAAAATGCTCCAGTTTCTAATTGGCTTTATTAGAGTTTTCCCAAATTGTCTGGATATTTTCTGCGCAAATAAGCGACCCAGGTATAAATTACCTTGTTAGTGGTTAACACCAAGAATTTCATGCTGGTAGAAATGTAAAATGGTGCAGTCACTTTAGAAAATAGACTAGCAGGGCCTCCCTGGTGGCACAAGGGGTTAAGCACCGCACTATGAAGCAACCCGCAGCCTCTGCAGCACGAGATCAATCCCCGGCCAGGAAGCAACATGGTGAAGTGGCGGGCCTCTCCTGTCTCGCCCACTGCTCCCCTCAGCAATGTGTTTCGTCTGTCTGTTCTACTCCCCACTCTGTCTCTGGTGGGTCCTCTCACCCTCCCGTATCTCTGGCCTGTACCCCAGCTCTTGTATGCATAAATAAATAAATGTTAAAAAAAAAAAGAAAATAGACCAGGGGTTCCTCAAAAGGTTAACTGTTGCATTATCATGTGATCCAAACACCGTTATTTTTTTTGTTTTTCACCTTTTTTTTTTATTTTTATATTCCCCATACAATTGCAACCCCGATTTTGACCCCCATCCCTCCCTCCCACCTCGCCAAGAGTGTCTCTGGTTCATAGTTGTTTGTTGATTTTGATTTTGATTTTTTTCTTTCTTATAGTTATTCTTCTTCCTGGTCCATATTTAGGTTTTCTAGATTCCTGCTATGAGTGAGACCACCTGGTATTTTTCTTTTTCTTTCTGGCTTATTTTGCTGAGCATGATCCCTTCCAGCACCATCCATGTTGCTGCAAATTGCATGGGTTTATCTTTTTTGAATGCTGAGTAATATTCCATGGTGTATATGTACCACATCTTCTTGATCCAGTCATCTATTTTTGGGCATTTGGCTTGTTTCCAAAGCTTAGCTATTGTAAATAGTGCTGCTATAAACATAGGGGTGCAGGTGCTCTTTGGAGTTGATGTTTCTGTGTCCTTTGGGTAAATACCTAGGAGTGGAATTGCTGGATCATATGGAAGCTCTATGTTTAGTAGGTTGAGGAAACTCCACACAGCTCTCCATAGTGGCTGGACCAGTTTGCACTCCCACCAACAGTGCAGGAGAGTTCCTTTTTCTCCACATCCTCGCCAACATTTGTTGTTGCTAGTTTTTTTAATATGTGCCATTCTCACTGGTGTAAGATGGTATCTCATGGTAGTTTTGATTTGCATTTCCCTGATTACAAATGATGTTGAACATTTTTTCATATGCCTGGTGGCCATTTGTATTTCCTCTTCAGAGAAGTTTCTTTTTAGCTCTTCTGCCCATTTTTTGACTGGATTATTTTCTTTGTTTTTGTTGAGTCTCATCAGCTCTTTGTAGATTTTTGTGATCAGTCCTTTATCATTAGTGTTGGGTGCAAAAATTTTCTCCCGGTCGGTGGGGTTTCTCTTTGTTTTGGTTATTGTCTCTTTTGCTCCAAACACTGTTATTTATAAGAGCAAAAAATGTCCATCAACTGCTGAACCAGTAAATAAAAGTATATCCACATAATGAAACATTATCAGCCATAAAAAGGAATGAACATTGACAACATGACGGTACCTTGAAAGCATGATGCTTCGTGGGAGACGGCAGACACACACACACACACACACACAAAGTGTTTGACTCCATCCCTATGGGACAGCAAATCTGTAATGACAGAAAGTAGATGAGCAGCTGCCTAGATTGAGGGAAAGAGAAAGGAAGTGGGTTCAAATGAGTACAAGGTGTCTTTGTCAAGAGATGAAAATGTTCTAAAATTGATTGTAGCAATGGTTACACATTTGAATATAAACTAAACTTTAATTTGCATACTTGAAGTAGGTGACTTACAAGGTATGAGTTATATATCAATGAAGCTATAACATTTTAAAAAGTTTTTTTAAAAAGCATTCCAATCTCTCTCTCTATACCTCTTAGCAGTTGGGTAATCTTGAGCAACTTCCTTACCTCTCTAAGCCTCAGTTTCCTCATCTGTAATGGACTTGAATTATTTTATTATAAGGATTAAATAAAATAATCCAGGTGGAGGGTGTAAATGTACGGTAAGCCCTCAATAAATGTTAGCTATGTTTACAATTATTTCCTACCCTCCAGAGAAAGAGAATAAATCTGGAAACCTCCTGCCATGAACCCAACTAAATTCTGTGTAAGAAACAAAACAGCAGAAATAACATCCAACCAGGGACTCAGAAATAAGGGGAAAATTTCCTAGCATCTTTCTCCCCCTTTTTACTTCAGCCAGACTCCACTCCCTCCTTGCCTCCAATCCCCACAGCCCACGTTAAAAAGGAGTTAAAAGATATTTTTCCCCTCTCTGCATAATTTCCACTCCATTAACTGCCATTTCGGCCATTGCAGTGATGTTCCAGA